CCCCTAAAATAATATCGCTCCGGAAAATAGAGAGACTGAACCTTCTCTCTAAAAGCCTTGTGTCTTCACAAAAGACAAATGATGGTCGCTACTACCAATTTTTCTTTTCGTTTCACTTTTGTTTTGAAAGTTTTTTTCAGTGGGGAAGGGGGCTGGGTGTAATTATCTAATGCCCCAAAAACTTTACTCAAATTTGTCTTTTCCGCAAGAATTTTATGTGTTATCCTACTTAATCGAAATAGAAGTCTCCGCTGAAATCATGAGGAAATCTCTGATCGCGGAATTGAGACATGGAAAATTGTCCTAGATACTTATGTTCTCAGAAAGACAAAAGTCTGCAAAGGAAGGTAGTATCAAATTTTCCCCGTTTTCCGTACTAATGGTTTAATTGAGATCACAGTTCTTTGTTCATCGAGCGTGTTATTTTGCACGCGTAATAACTGGAATCGTGAGTTTATTTCTCTATGATAAGAAAAAATTGTTTTCTAATTATATTTTGATTGCTTTATTTCAGAGCGGGATCGCACAATGCTGTTTCCAGATTACTTCTTCTTTGCTGAAAAGCGTTTGAAAAACCATGAAATCGAAACCAAATATGTCAGAGACTTGGATCAATGTGAGCTTTTCTGCTACATGAACGACAACTGCGTCAGTGCTAACTTCAAAAAAGAGCCAGATACAAGAGTAATGACTCATGTCTGTGAACTGAATAACGCCACTCATCTTGACCATGATACTGACCTGATAACTGATGCTGATTTTTATTATCGAGGCTCAAAGGTAAAATATAAAGTATAACTCAAATTCAGCAACTCGGCGATGAATCGTGGAAAACAACCGACGTTTAACAAAACTTAAGTTCGTTCATTCATGTATCAATCATTCAATACATTGATCTTCTTTAATTTTTCTTTTTTTCTTTTTTCTTTTCAGAACGCCTGCGGTAAAAACCCACCTTGTCAAAATAATGCAACTTGTCAGTCCGGTTTCACAATCAAGGGATATCGATGCTCGTGCCCTCCTGGATTCGAAGGAGAACATTGCGAAAAAGGTTAATTACAGAATAGACCGTAAAGAACAAAATGTATCCTGGAGTATTTAAACCGCCATATTTATATATCACGTTTGGCCGTCGAGTGCGTATCTTAACGGAAGACTACTAAGGCTGATCTTTGACGACTGATATCCAGCTACAGTTTGGAGTGGTGTCTAGAGAGAGATTCCGTTGCAGTGGAAGTTTTGGTTTAATCTAAATGAAAAATTAATATGTCACAATGATAACTAACGAAATGCTTTTTCATCTCATAAGAGTTTAAAAGACAATGTATATCTCACTCGTGTAATCACTACCGTTGTAGAATTTTTCCTTTCTTTCCCATTTTTTCAGATGTTGATGAATGCCAAAAAAACACTCACGATTGCCACCTGAACGCTACTTGTCGAAACACAAATGGATCCTTTGTGTGCACCTGTTTATTTGGATTTAACGGAGATGGACGGAACTGCACAGGTAATTGCCTCGTTATGACTTTGAGAAATGTTAGTTTGCGTGAGTTTGTTTGTTTTTATACTCCAAGAATCGTGATTGAAAGCCTGTCATTTCTCAGACATCGACGAATGCGCAAGAAATCTTTCTTGCCATGTGAATGCCAACTGTACCAACACCATTGGATCACATGTATGTACATGCCACACTGGATACACTGGAGATGGACAGACTTGCTCAGGTGATTTTAATAAGTTTCCTTCAATGCTCAGAAAAGTCCTTTTTGATCGAAGAGAGACAATCTTCATCGCTCCTATTTCTATGCATACAGTCCCTGCTATTTAAAGCTAATGACAAAATGCTGAACATTTTCGTTGACCAGCTTTCTCTTTAATAAAACATAGTGACCAACAACTCTCTGGAGACAACTCTCGCACTTAATGATCAAAATAAGGGGGTTTATACTTGTGTCATACTCCAAGAATCGTGATTGAAAGCCTGTCATTTCTCAGACATCGACGAATGCGCAAGAAATCTTTCTTGTCATGTGAATGCCAACTGTACCAACACCATTGGATCACATGTATGTACATGCCACACTGGATACACTGGAGATGGACAGACTTGCTCAGGTGATTTTAATAAGTTTCCTTCAATGCTCAAAAAGTCCTTTTTGATCGAAGAGAGACAATCTTCATCGCTCCTATTTCTATGCATACAGTCCCAGCTATTTAAAGCTAATGACAAAATGCTGAACATTTTCGTTGACCAGCTTTCTCTTTAATTGTAACGATAGGATTTTTAGTGATTTTTAGTTCTAGAGTTCTTTCATGCTTACGCTTCAAAATACAATATTCAACGTAGAAAGCTTAGTTCAGCAAAGCGTAAACGCTACCAGTTCTCCTTCAGTCACCCGTAAACAGTTGTTGTTAGTGTTAAACTGTAACAGCCACCTGTCATGTCTTTTTGTGTAACTGTTATCCACCGGAACTCTTTGAAAGTAATTAAAATTGTAGAAGGCGAAATTCCTACTTAGCCAATAGTGTAGTAGATTACATGATCCTTTAGATTATTCATGACATTACTTTATCCATGTACGTTAGGCTTAAATAGGACTGTTTTGTAAAGCTTAAGTTAGAAGAGAAGTAGGAAGAGAGAAGGGAGTAGAGCAGGGTTGAACCCGCCCTGGTCAGGTCCGTTCTGGTCAAAATTGTAGTCGAGCTTGCAGAATAAATCTACGTTGGAGCCAACCCTGTTGTCGTTAGTCATTCTCTCAAGGATAGTCAGCAACCGTAATAGATTCCGGTTACCTTCCCGCAGCCAGCGAGTGCCCCCAAGGAAAGCCTTTACCCAGAAAGAGTTTTTAAGAGTTGTCCCCGTCCGTCCGTTCATTTGTGAAGGCAAAACCTGTTTTCACATAATAAAACATAGTGACCAACAACTCTCTGGAGACAACTCTCGCACTTAATGATCAAAATAAGGGGGTTTATCCATGTATCATACTCCAATAATCGTGATTGAAAGCCTTTCATTTTTCAGATGTTGACGAATGTGCAAAAAATCTTTCTTGTCATGTGAATGCTAACTGTACCAACACCATTGGATCACATATATGTACATGCCACACTGGATACGCCGGAGATGGACAGACTTGCTCTGGTAATTTTAATGAGTTTCCTTCAATCCCAGCCATTCAAAGCGGAGAGTAATCTAAAACGTCCTTTTAACTCAAATTATGATGCCAGAAGTAGTCAAACATTTATCCTAAAATGTAGTTCTACTCCATAATTTACCCTTATTAGAAATGGTGGATTATTTCACTTTGTCCAAAAATCTTTTGAGATTAGGTTTAGCAGTATTTTGTACAGGTGTTCATTGTATATTGATCAACCAAAACATTTTTCATCTTAACACCCAATTGTGGGCTGTAACGTGGTGCGTTTGATCCCCATCAGACATCGACGAGTGTTCACAAATGAACATCTGTGATGAGAACGCCTCCTGCAGTAATAACCAGGGCTCCTACAGTTGCGCCTGTAATCCTAAATACATTTGGGATGGTTTGACTTGTAAAGGTTAGTCTCTTTTAATCCATGCCTTAAAAAATTTGTAAAGATAGTACTGGCTGTACTCGCTGTCAATAATGTTGAGTGAATGGCTATTCTTGTTTGGCCATGTAACAAATCACGTTAGTTTTTAGTGCCTTTAGTTTGCTTGAACGTCCTTCGACAAACCATTAAGGAAAAAGAAAGATATATTTTATTTTTTTTAAAGACTTGATGTGCATGGTTTTTGTCTTACAGGAGAGAAAACAATGGCCCCATTATTTATTGTTGATGACGCATAAATGTTCTTGTTAATAGAATTATTATGAGGCTGTGTCTCGAAAGGATTAAAAGCAATCAACCAGCATAATCTGATTGGCTAAAATCGATGTTGACCGCGGTTAAGATTTTCCCATTTTGGCGTATTAAGGTGATTCCTAAGAAGAAAAAAATTACCTGATAATTTTTTCAATCTTTCCTTAAATGTTCCCTAACAATGTCTTTCGGAAGATACAATAAGAAAGACAGGTCACCGTGCTTGTTTGAGAGAAATAACGGGCCAAACTTACCCCATTTATGCCTCTACTAGCAGTTTTTCACGCGCGTCATTTCACGGTACATTTTTCGGTAACAAATTGAATCTTGCGATCAGTCCAAAGGAGATTCCTTAGTATTGCACTAGGCATCCTGTGCTGCGTAAAAAAATCACGTAATCAGGCGAATAAGCGCGTGGGAATTCCGAGAGCACGGTATTGCTTTTCAATAAATGGACCCTGCAAAGAGGTACGATGCTCTTTAGCTCTTTAACGAGCACGGTGACCTCTCTTTTTCATTGCATAATTTTAGCGTACAATTTAGCCCCTTTTTATTGGAGAAATTAAAAATCATCTTGATGATGAAATTATGACCTTGAGAGCAACGACTCGAGGAACGTTTCAGGTCAATGCCGATTAAAATTACTTGATTTTTCACAAATTGTATATAAAATTGTTCCCTACTTTCAAGACTTTGTGCCTTTCAAGTCTTTTTTTAAAATTTTTTCTTTAAAAACCCTTGCTTCCAGCTAAATCATTTCAATAGTAATTAATGGAAGAACAAATACCTAAAATTAGGAAGCAGGCAAAGAGAATAAGGAAAACATAGATAAATTAAACACTCGGAGGGTTGGGAAATTTCTTGAAAGGTATGCGAACCCTCGACTGTGTGTAGGGTTTGTATAATTTCCTCAAATTCCTCCAACCTCCTCTCGTGTTCAGATGAGAGTATGTAAACACGGAAAAAAGTTCCTCTATTGCTTGAGCAGTAATCGGCTCCCAAAGAAGTTGTCCAGGCGTATCTGCTCAGTTCGAAGAAAAACTATTTACAACATTATAATTCCACTACGACACAGAGACCTTTTTCACAGTCAAATAATTTTAGCTTTAGGCAATTTTTGTGGGAGCACTTATCAACAAGTTTTTTGACTTTACAGTAATCAGCAACCTTTTCTGTGGTCAGTAGAGTTGTATGAAAACCCATTCCCTGAGAGATCGAGCCACAGACACGCATTAAAACTTGTTGTATGTGGTAACTGTTCAAGGATTTTGCATCGAGGCTGTATGACAAACTCGGCCATTTGTCCTCATTCAATAGGTAGAGAATAATTCATGGGAGCGTGTTGATACGGAATTTCTCTTCGAGTGTTCGACTCGCTGTCTTATGAGTGAGAGCAGCGAACGAGTAAGGTGTCGAGCAAGAGAATATAAACGAAACGGTTAAGAATATATGAAAGTCATTTATTTGAACTGCGGACTTTCATATATTCTTAACCGTTTATTTCATCACTTCACGGGTTTATTTAGAACCAACATCATGACCAGCTCCCAGTTGGCTTGTTAGCTCAGTTGGTAGAGCGCTGCACCGGTATCGCAGAGGTCATGGGTTCAAATCCCGTATTTTTTTTTCAGGCCTTATTGTCACTACTGCCTAAGTAGTGCACATTACTGCGAGGATCACTTTCATTCACAAGAATATAAACTGCTATAATTTCTTGGTATCGAGTTGAACACGAGAAGAGAAGTTCCATAACTGCTATCAACCATGTATTATTTTGTTTATCATATAATCAAAATAGGCCTTTACTGAGAGGAAGGGTCTAAAGAATGAAATTATAGGTTTCACATTCCGCTAAAAAAAAAAAGTCGTAAAGCACGATAAGGCTCAAGACGAAGAAATGGAAAAATTCTCAAAATTTGCAGTTATTGACTTTTTCCTTACCGAAAGAATAAAAATTTCCACGTATATGGCCAAAAACAGCCTGTGGCAAATCTTTCAGTTGTCGATTTTCGTTCTCAGCTGCGAAAACATACCATTGCCCAGGTCAAGTATGTAACTTTCAATTTTTCTTCTCGTATTTAGTTTTACTTCCGCTTCTAGGAAATTTTAAAAGCCATTGTCCGTAAGAAATACGAATTTTTTTGTGTTTTTAGCAGTCATAATCCAAGAAAATCTCGACAAGCAACCCTGGATTGAGAACGGTCAACGCTTTGCCATTCATTTATTAACCTTACACATGCTGATTGGTGATATTAAACAAATGTAAAAAGTTATCGTAATATTGTAGGCGTGCTGTTACGGCTTTTCACAGGGCGGGAAATCCTTCTTAAAAACCGCAGTTTATGTAATAATTTTTTTTCCTTAAGCTTTGTTATAAAGAAAAATATACAAAATATCGCATTAACCGAAATTTAACTTTTTAGCCGATCCGTGCTATAATTACAGAAACCTGAGCGATGCTGACAGAAAGAGCACTTACATCACACCCGACGGTGGAGAAAAATGTGACGTCGATTCCTCATCCATAATATTCGGGAAGTGGCATCGTTTCGTGGGAGATGCAGGAACAAAAATGCCAACCCAGTGCGTACCGCATAAAAGATGTGGTGCGACCTTATCAGGCTGGCTAAAAGGTGGTCACCCCACACTGGCAGATGGTGAGGTTTCTTCAGAGGTCTGCTTTACCAGAGGTGTAGATTGTTGCAAGGAATATAGAAACATACATGTGAAAGATTGCGGATCCTTCTTTGTATACCAACTACAAAAGCCACCTAAATGTGCTTTGCGCTACTGTGGCACAGACTAAATGTTATAAGCAAGTCATTCTGCACAGTGAAAGGATTCACAAATCCATTTATTGGCACGCACATGTACATCACATGTACAGTTTTTTGGTAAATGTTAAACAGTGAGTAGTTTCAAGACAAGAGTACCATTGGACCGCGTAGTTTGGTCTTCCACATGAGAGGACTCTTAACAATTGTCGCTGAAGGTAGTGAGTAATAGTGACTGACATTTTTATAACCTCGGCTGAAATCATCATCAGAGTCGACTGAACAATTGTTGTTTATCCGAGTATTAGAACAGACCCCCATCACCCCTCCCCCAGCTAATGTCAACAACTATATATGGGCATTTGTGAGCTTCCAAATAATCTTAATATCATCTCTATCTATTCCAATCGAAGAGATCCACAAACTAAGTTTTAAGCACAACTTTGAGCATTGTATTTTGCTTATTACTAAACGTTTTGAACTCTTAATGTTTACTTAGGCCGTTAGAAACTAAAGCAGCTTAGGTGTTTTGTGGATAGAGACTGTAAATAATTTCTAGAGTGACTGCGCGCGAAATCGATACTCAAACTTTATGATGATATAGCATGGAAAATAAGAACATTCAATAGGCTATGTAATTATGATGTTATTCTTCCACATTAGTTTTGTTGTAAGCTTCGAATTCCGGAATGTTTTAAAATACGTTGTGATAGTATGTAAGGACTCAGTCAGTTAGGAGTAGTAGTTTCTTTTGTCAGAAAAGACCAACTATCTTGGAACCTCTATCAAAAGATAGCTCGGTACTGTGATATACTCCAAAGATTGTGTATTTTGAGGAGATTTGGAGGCAATAGTGAGTCTTTATAGTGGGGTTAAGTAAGTTTTTAAATGACAATTATTGTATTGCCTATAGGAGTAGTTCCTGAGAAAGAATTATTACACGTTGTTTAATTAAATGGTCTAAAATTGTAGGAGTATGGTATTCCTTATTTCGAATAAATCATACCTTAACAGGTGAATCTTGTAGGAAAGTGTGTTGGGTGAATTGGGGAAAATCTCAATGATGTCTACGCTAGTAGCTCTTATACCAGCCATTCTAAAAAAAGGCAAAACAACACCAAAAAGAGGTTCCAAATGACGACCAGTTAAAACCTAATTAACAACCTTTTCAGGCTTATTTGTGTGGATGTAACCAGTAAAGGTAAGACGTGATCTGTTACTCGGGTTGCTGTAGTTATAACTGAAAATGAGCCTATGAAAAATAGCACGTGTAAGTAATCAGAGTTTTGCACGTCTTTTTTTCACTTTAGAAAATATAAATTGACTTTCCCAAAGGCCAAACCCTCTTATCACCTGTTATTCAAATTCTCTACACGTAATAATGAATTATCACTTTCCAGATGTCAGTAAACAAAACCGATTCCACTTTATCTTTTTTTTGTTGTTAAAGGTACCGTCGCTAGTGTTTTTGAAGCGCAAAGTTCATCATATTCCTTCAAGTGAATAATCGATAATCTTCGGACAGTTTCCGAACTTTAGGAAGTAAGAGATTAATCTGTTGAGATATCTCTTTCCTTTAGTGAGACATAAATCTCCATCTGGTACCTTTTAAATATATTAATATTATCTAGGTTTGATTAGAAAATAATCTCGACTTTTTTAATGAGCTTTCCTTTAGAATTTATGAAGACGAATTTCTGAGAGAAACAAGTTGATCAATTCTCCCTTTAGTCAGTTATTTGATAGAAAAGATCTTTTCAAGAAATCCCACAGAATTGGTATCTCTAAGACAAAATTGAACGATACAATCGACTCGTTATCAACATATCCCGGGCAATAATAAACTATCAGACTTAAAAAACGTTAAAAAAACATTTATTCTTAAATGCAATAATTACAATTATTTTAAAATTAATACTTAAATTTGTAGCCGATCCGTGTTATGAAGAAGAGTGAGGATAATAGAAATTCCATCGACGATACACCGCTAAATGATCCAGTGTTCTGTGACACACAACTCTCCGAGGAATGGCGGTACCGTTTCGTGACAGCTGTAGGAACTAGAACTCCAACAACCTTCATGGATAGTTATAAATGTGGTAAAGCCAACCCAGGCTGGCTAACCCTTTGACTCCCAGAGGTGATTAACTTGTTACTTCTCCCTACAAAATCCATTCATCATCCAGGTAATAAGAATACTCAAACTTATCAGGAAGAAGTTTTCTACCTGATCTGACATCAAACCCTCTGAGCTAATTTATAAGGAATTGTGAAGTTAAAGGGTTAAGTTGTGCTACTTCCGTGATGAAAGATGGGGAATTTGACAGGAAGGTCTACTTTAAACATAAAAGTAGAGGCTGTTGCTACCGGTCAGTTCAGATTTAAGTAGAAAACTCTGGATTCTACCACATATACAAACTTTTCCACCCATCAACTTGTGATCTGCGCCACTGTGGTACAGTTTGACGTTGAGGAAAATTACTCCATGTAAAAAGAGGATTCATGAACCACTATCTAGGTAACAAATTTTATCACATAAACTGCGGTGTTATACAAGGATTTCCAGCCCTGAGAAAAGCCATAACAACACACGTGAAAAAATATCGTGTTTTTCACGTGTGTTGATACAGACAATCGGCTGCTTACAAGTCACTCGCCTTTGGCGCCACTCGGTCAGGTTGATGAATGAACGGCAAAGCCTTCACGATTCTCAAAACAAGTTGTTTGTCGGAGTTTTCTCGAATTATGGCGGCTAAAACACTATCCAAACTTCCCAAGTGCTTCATATCTCGATGAACACACGCTCACGTATGAACCAATTGTTTTATAACATTTTCAACCCCATGGAAAATTTTTTTCTCGAGCGATTTGTTTGCTGACGTCATAAGCGTGCACAATAGGAATATGAAGCACGCTCGTGCAATTGAATTTGATTAAACAAATTTACTAGCTATGTTATAAATTGTTTTGAACAAGCTGTGAACTGTGCTTGAGTGGTCCAGACTAAATTTGAAGCAAATAACTGCACGTAATGAGAGGATTCATATATAAATGCGTGGAGGTTGTATCCTCCCCTCAGTCCTCTCCTTATTAACATGACGCGTGAGAATTTTTTAGGTACTCAGATCTTCTTTGAAAGTTGAATCTTTATACAGTGTCAAATTAGCAGTTCGAACGCACGGGGCAAGTTAGGGACGAATTACACTTAGAATATAGTAGCCCATTGAACATGGTTCGTTCCTAATTTAAATAGCGCCTCGACACTTATGACCCTCTCACAAATTAAAAGAAAAGTAACACAAACATTACCTAATTTACCAACGTTACTGTCCTGTTGCCTTATCCATTATCATCTCGTCTCTCGGGACGATCCAAAACCATTTCACCTAAGGTGCTTGCGCTCTTGGTTATCTGCTAGCAGGTTCTCATAGCTTCTAAAACCGTTGAATACTTCTTTTAAATGTAAGTTTCCGGCACTGACCTTTATGAATTTGACGGCGACGTCTTCTGCTTTTGTTTGTTTCCCTTTGTTTTGCTTTATTTTTTCAAGGTACGTCTATAAACGAGTCTATATAGTCGCCGTTCAGAAATCTTTGCGAGAAGAACCACACTTAAATATGTGATTTGATAAACTTATATCACTCTCGCTTCCACTGACTTCATCCCCCATAAGGAAGATCTACGTGCGTCTCTAACCCAAAATAATTAATGATAATAATGTGTTTCCGACTTAAAGCATTTTAAGAGGCGCGCAATAAGAGTGAAAGGTTTGAACAAATCAAAAAGTTCGTATTTGATTAACAAAATTATAGCTGTGTTTAGATGTTAACATCTAAGTCAAGTTCTCATCTTAATAACAGAGCATCAACAAAAGCACGGAACTTTTTAGCCGTGTTTTTGTCATTTGTTCCGCCGAGCTAGGCAAATTTAATTCTCTCCTGCCGCTCTGGGGAATTTTGTGCAATTTTGCTTGTCTCGTAGCCTTAGCTTGGCCTTTTCTATTATTAAGTTTCTCGGATGTAAGTCTGAATTTTTGTGGTCTAGTAGCTAGCGCGAATGCCAGAGTTCTTCTTGCTGTCATTTCGCTGGTTGTCTTTTCGTATCATCGTTTTGGTAAAGTTTCCTCACAGCCCCATACTATTGTAAAATAAATCTGTTTTCTCAATGGAAATGCATTGTTTTTGTCATTGTTTTCTCTATTCAAGACCTGAATGCATAATGTAGGATGGGATTGTGCGGAAATTTTACCCAAGATCGTTTGGCTTTGCTTTCGTGGGGTTTGCACATATGTTTATTCCTTTATTGAGCATCTTCTTCTCGTTTTTGCTCGGCATTGCCGCAGTATTGGGTTTTACGAGTATTTGCACTTCTATTGTATCTGTCGATTGTTTTTATAAGGAACGCTTCTTCATTAGCTTTCTATTCGTAAGTACAGTTCCTACGGGTAATGTCTTTTTGTTGCAACAAATTCTCAGCCTAAATGAGAAGTCATCGAGGCCGAAACGGGTTGAACGACATAACGGGCCTATCCCCAAAGCCAACGGGGAAACGATCAAAATGAATTTGTTCTGTATAAAGAAAGGAGGCCATTATCGGATAGATACTGTGGGCCTGTATGAAAGCCAACGAGGCCAAAAAATTGTTGGACCTGAATAAATTACACGAGGCCAAAATGGATAACGTTATGGGCATGTAATAAAACAAAAAAAAGAAAGGGAGAAAGAAAGAAAGAAAGAAAAGAAAAAGGAAAAAGGGCCTGTAAGGAAAATATAATAATGCGTTCGAGGACAAAATATGCCTGTAAGACAAGTAAACGAGGCCCAAATGAGTAGAACGACTAAACGGGCCTGTCTTCAAAGTCAATGAAGAAATAAACAAAATAGTATAAATAAAGAAGGCCGTCATGGATAGATACTTTGGGCCTGCATGAAAGCTAATGAGGCTAAAATTGTTAGAATTACAATGACCTGAATAGAGAAAAAGACAGGCCAAAATTAATAATGCTATGGGCTTGCATAAGGAAAATATGGCCAGATGGACCTGCAGGGCTATAGATATTGAATATATGGGATATCTGATAGCCAAAGGGTTGGCAAGTTATTTAGATTTCTCTGTGTTTTCCGTTTCTCAGGTAACAAAATTACGCAAAGAGCTCCGAATGAGTTGAAAAAGAAAACTGAGTCCTGTTCGGTTGATACAGCATTGATGGCTTTACAGGCTTTCACCGGTCGTTCACCGGCCCTGTTTGATTCCTATGCCGCGATTGCAGCTCTTGAAGAGGTAGTTGACTTAGCACAGAAGTATGCGGATGAGCGATACTCGCGTAATCAGATAATCCTCAGAAAGTGTCGCCCCCTGGTGGCAGACGCATCCTTACAGAATATCCTGATCAAATTAGTGGCCTCGAAGGAGGAAGCTGAGATTGCTAAGGTAATCGAGAAGGCGAGAAAGTCAAGCCGAGCAGGGGAAAGTTTTTCACCACCTGTTACAGCTGGGAGAACAAGGGGACCCTCATATGGATACCGAAGAGGTCGTGAGTCCCGAAGATGCTAGAACTGTGGCCAGCTGGGCCATTTGCAGCGTGCGTGCCCAAAGGCTGAGGCATCTAAAGGCCAGTAGATTTCTTGTATGAGTGACTTCCATTTATCTTCTGAATTACTCAAATCATTTGTGCAATTTTTTCATAAGGGTCTAACGGAATAAAACGTCTTGTTTGTTGTTCCCTTACCTTGTGGTGTGCTGCCCTTTTTTTTTGACGGCTTAGGTTCAAGAGAGTGACCCCACAAGTTGTATGTCCACAGGGCATATCCTTGAACCCGCGAAGCGGGCTAACCGTGGTCATCTTTCTTGGGCTTGGGTTGGTATTTTTTTCCTTAGTCAGTGTTTTGATTTTGTTTTTCATATCCATTTTCTAGTTTGACTGCGAGGTATTAAACGAATTTAACCCCCGTGGAGTGCAGAAATCTTCTGAGATTAAGTGGGTTACTGTTGATAGACACCCAAACCCAAGTAAGATGATCAGTGTTGGGAAAATATCCGCTGACGTTGCAAGGATAGAAATGGGGGAGGAGGGAAATATGAATAATCTGCTGTTCAGAGACCCTTCAAGCTTCAGGGCGGCTGAGATCCACAAACACATTCCAGTGTGGGAGCGCATTTTGGAAAACAACCCGTTCAAGGAGCAAATATTACAGTGGTTGCAGTATGGAGTGGATGTCAAGGAATTTATCAAACCATTCAAAGGAACGTTCAAGGGCAGCAAATATGATTCGCGATTTCCTCCCAGAAAACACTTAAAAATCCACCAGTCGTGCAAACTGTTTACAGAGTTCATCTCTAAAACATTGGTGGAAAGAATGAGGACGGGGGCAGTTCGTGTTTGGGGTAGAGTAGGAATAGTAGAACCCCCCTTGGGTCATCTTACCTAACAAACACCATCAAACCTAACAAACCAAGGCTATGCATCGACGCCCGTTTCGTAAACTTGCGGATGTCGGACACCCCGTTTTCGTTGGATACCCTCGTCTCAGTGCCTAGATATGCGTATCTGGGTTCGTTTCTTCCAAAAATCGACGACAAGAGTTGATACGATCACATCCTTCTTGCTACATCATCTCAGGAACTATTTGGCCTTGAATGGAAAGGGTGGTGGTTCGTGGGAACAACAATCCCTTTCGACTGAAAAAATTCCCTGTTTATATACCAAACCACCGGTATAGCCTCGACTCATTTCTTTGGAAGAATGGGTATTACTTGCGGCTTATATATCGACGGCAGACTGATTGGGGAAATCATGAGTAAGCATGGTTTTTGGTCCCGCAATTTGGAATAGCGTGATTCGAAGTTTAGTGAGAACGCAGCTGAGGCGGCTCTATAAGTAGTGTAAAGAGTATTAACGGGACTTGCGTACTTCCTCGGACTTGAAAAATGTATCTCGTCTCCTGCAACCAGACTTCAGTACCTTGGGATGTTAATTGACACTAACGAGCAGGCTTTTATCGTCCCCCAAGATAAACGCCAAAGGTTCGCTGAACTAAGAGAGTTCATTCTTGGTTGCAAGACAAGCGTTTCTTTAAAATCCATCCAGAAAATGATGGGAAAATGTAATTTTTTTCACTAGCCTAGCAATCGGGAAAGCAGGACATGGTGGAGAAGTGTCGTTTACACAGGGTTTGAGAAAAGAGCTGGAATTTGGGGGTTTTTAGACACTTGGGATAAATGTGTCCCATGGAGGCAGGAAAGGCGTGTTTCATTGGTAGTGTTAACGGATGCCTCGTCTTATCGGTGGGCAGTTATTTTTCACTTCCCTCCGAGAAAACAAGAAATTGGAGATTACTGGGAAGAGGACATCCGCTAAGAACAAATCAATGTCAAAGAACTTAGCGCAGTTCTGCAAGCCGTTAGGTGCTTACCAGCATCAGTCCGAGACTGTCGAATCGATGTTAGAGTCGATAACCAGGTGACGATCAATTCCTGGCATGGACGTGGTCCGAAATCACCTAGGTTGTTAAAGGTGACCCGCCTGCTATTCGAGTAAATAACAGAGAGGAATCTGATGCCTGAGATGAGCTACATACCGTCGGGACTAAATCCCGCGGATTATTATTCACGAAAATTGACTCGTTCAGACGCAATTCTCACTGCTGCGTCATGGGGTGTGGTCCAAGAGGAATTTGGGGGTCCAAGTGGACACAACTTCGACCTCATGGCTTTAGATTCCAATGTACAACACGACCTTAAGGGCGTTCCTCTTGCTCATTTTACCCCCTTTTTGACACCATGTTCAGCCGGAGTGAATCTATTACATCAAGACCTATCCATCTGCGATGGTATTACAGTCAATGCTTACGTCTTCCCTGCTTTTTCGCTGGTTGGACCATTGCTTCGGTTCCTTCGATCCCAAAGAGCCACGGTTACGTTTATGGCCCCGAGATTGTCGCTACTCCCTGTCTGGTGGCCCATAATCAACTCGATGCCCAAGAAAAAGGTTTTGATCGCCTGTAAAGGAAGCACTTATATCATTGCCATTTGAACTTTGGGCTTTCCGTATTGGCCCAACAGTGTGAGTCAAAGTTATTAATATCTCTTATTCGTCTTTCTTTTTAGACTCTCGCTATGGTTCCTCGACTACTTGTACCAGCAGTATCGTGTCCAAATGTAGCTATCCGAATGACAATTCTTTCAAGTTTTGCCAACGTTGCGGTTATAAACGCCACCTGCAGGCATCAATGACAACAACGTCATTAAAGGCGCCTATCAATTGGATTGCTATTAAGGAAAGAAAGGATTCTTTAGAGAAGCGTTTGCTTTCAACCCCGAAAAAGAAGGCCCTCCTTTTTAACCACGTGTTGACAAAGTCACTTCGAGATGGATCTGAAAACGTGTTTGCTTTAAAGAGGTATAAAGACCCTGTTTTATGACCCATTGTGGCTCTAGAGGTCTACATTAAGATGTGTGACATAAGACGGGGGTATTTGTTTAGGCCAATAAGCCCCTCGGGAGATATACTCCCTGAGCCCTTTGATTCATCAGCTGCCCAGGCGAGATTAATTTCGTATGCCAAAAGATCTCCGATGCTTTCAAAGGAAACGCTACCCAACTCTTCATGGCCATAGAAGTGGCTGCGCAATTTCGCTTGCACTATCTGGGATTGAGCTCAGAGAAATCATGGACCATGTTGGCTGGAAAGCAAATGCAACCGCTCACCATTAGATCAAGCTGCGACAAGTCTTGGCCTGTGGTAGGGCTAACGACACATTATCAAGGCTTCCAAGTGCCTTAACTGAGAATTACAGACATAGAAATGACCTTTTTTACACAAGACATCTAGGTTTCTGGACTACTTGACTAGCCACCGCCCTCCTCCTTATAGGGCTGGAGAGGATTTGTTAGTTCGGGGGTTTGTTAAGGTTGGGGTTTGTTTAGTTGTTTTTGAAGAGTATGTTATAGCTCTATAGGATTAGAACTACGAATGCGAGGACATGGTGACTCCCATATCATGCTAATGAGTAAACAGAATGGATATTGAACTATTCAAACCCTTTGAATATTCATTATACATTATGACGTTGAAATTAGCTTAACCTAACTGTGTCATTTGGCGCGAACCTTCGTTCTGTGCAGTTCCCGCCCCCCCTTACCCATTCTGCTTATTTATCGCCTTATCCCTTCGAGCTTGCTCGTCAGGGTGACTCCCATATCTCTCCCATAGCTAATGAGTAAGCAGAATGGATATTGAACTGTTCCTTTAGTCGATCATCCTGTGGTCAAAAAATTTTAAAAACCTAGAAGCGCGATTATAACACTGTTTACAATTAACTCATTAGCAGGGTATTTCGCATGCTGTTGAATCGATCGAAGTTATATTTATTAACACATTTTCAATTTACCTTAATCAGATCGAATGCCGCCGAAGCTAAATTCTGAGCCAATCGCAGCCCTGCAAAGCACAAAGTCGCAAAGAAAATCCACATCTCCTTAATGTATGATTAGAACTCTCTGCATACAAAAGAAGTAAACAAACATCAAAATCTTTTCAGAAGTCACCAGCGATGATCCTACATAGCGACTAAATTAGTCTTCACCATGGCTTCTTTCTCAAAATTTTGCTTCTTGGTCGCCCTGTTGTCTTTATTGATAATTAAAGTTGCGGGTGAAGAAGATGAGTTATACTTGCGTTTTCTCCGAGCTGACATAAAATCATTACAGTTCAACTAAGTTAGACGCACATTCGATTTCATATTCGTTATTTTCAGTTTTCTTTCCATAGATATATAGATAACATAGTTCACCAGAATTGAGACCATCCAGCCTAAACTTACTCATCAAACTCTTACATAAAAAAAAAAAATTAATGTCACATGAACGATAAGCCAAAGGCCGACATTTTGATTTTTGGTAAATAATAACAACACATTTCTTTTCTGTTTAGTGTTGTTAAAACGACCCAAATTCTAAGCCGCCAATAGCAGCTCACGCATAAAAAATGCTGGTCCTCCAGCTGTATGATTACAATTAAAACAGACTCCTGGTTAGTTTTGTTACAATGCAAGGACAGGAGAAACTAGTGGGTGACAAAACTCCCCGCTATCGTGAGGCAACAAGACTCTTCTTCAGTCTTCTCTTCTTGTTCTTCTCTTTACGTTAATTACCCTGAGGTAGTTTCTCTCTCTACGAGTAATTAAGCAAAAGTTTAAAGTTCACAGCAGGCATGGACTTAATGTCTCATCCACGTGAATTGAACTAACTAGTGAGATCGCCAAATCAAGGATATCAAAAAGCCCTCTCAATAAAAACAAAAAAAATTCAGAGGGTTTAACTCAGACTGGCTTCTTATAGTAAAGATCAACGCTGGAATGTTGCTTCTTTCAAATTTAGGCCATCACCCGATTATATCAAATTACCGGTATGCTTAAAATTCCCAATCGATTTTTCAAAGAAACAGAGATGTGTGTTTTCATTGATGCACATTAGCAAAAGCGAATTCAAAATATTGAATTCAATATCAAGTAAAATATGGGTCAAAAATCCCCTAGACGCGTTAGAAATGGTTTTAACTTCAAATAATTCTCATATCTAATGAAATACACGATTCAGTGTGTGGTGCTCCAATTTTCTTAATCGTAAACTATATCCATACTGCTACAGTGTTGCAGGTAAATTTAATTTACAATTGTAATAGAACCGAGTGAAGTCTAATTTCGCTCACTCATGAGTATAATTGAAGATCGAATTGGATGACGCAAAGTCCCGTTACCGATTGATCATAACCATTACAATTTAAGAAGAAAACAAATACATTTACATTTACTTGAGAAAATATCTTCGGTAGAGACACTTTTCTATGGGGTAAGTGGTTGTTGCTACGGTTATTGCAATCAACTCTGTGATTGGGGGATTTGCAGGAATGGACTTAATGTGATTAGCTGCTTTAACTGAGCGATTACAGGTGTCAAATTGACTGTCTGATACAGTCGCTTGTCCGATTGCCCTGACCGATTACAACTCTAAAGATTAATTAGTGCTAAAATAAAGCAGCTAAAGGACCAAAATCATTTGAGGACATTATAATGGTTATGACTGGTCGTGGAGGAGAGAGGGGCGAAACTGTTATGTTTTGTTACTTATAACTCGTAAGTTTCATCACTCCATTGCCTTTGCTTAGTCCCTAAAAAACGCAACTGGTTCTTTACCTTTCCAGATGTAAACCATAAATGGTGCTAATCAAATCCGATTCAATTTCTCACAGATTTCTGTCGCAAGATGGAATTTACAACTTCTCTAGCTTTCCCTGGCAAACGGCTCTTAAACCAATTGATACGAACCGTAGAATCCCCTGTTCAGGACTTCTGCTCAGCTCTATGCTACATGGAACCCAAATGCGTTAGCTATAACGAATTAGTGGCTAGCGGATCTCCAGTAATCACAAAATGCGAACTGAATAATTCCACACACAATGAACACAAACTACAGATATAAAGCAACAATGGTGAGTACATTCTTGTCCTGTTTGTGCTTTTCGTTTATCCTTGGTTTGGTGATTTTTGATTGTTGGTTGGCATCCTATCATGGCCAAGCGAATAACATTACTTGTCATTTGGTAGATTAGTATATAAAGTTATAAAGCCCAACCTCGGGTTGTTTAGCTTGTAAAGGTTTCGACGGTAAGTCGTTTCACTAATATGTTGTTTGGCTGGTTGCGCAATGTTTTTTGCAATTGGTTTGTATGGTTGACGGGTTGCGTGGCTGGTTGTTTGGTTGATTTGATCTCATGTGACATTTCGATTTTCATTTCAAAGTATTACCTCGTTTTCACACCAGAACACTTGTGGACAGACTCCTTGCCAACATGATGGCACCTGCCAGACAGGATTTACAGACAAAGGTTACAGATGCCTTTGTCCACCTGAATACAAGGGCACCAATTGCGAGGAAAGAAACGGTAGGTAAAAAAAACATTTTTCATTTGGTGAAATACTTTTATGAAAAACTCCACCTAATACTTTAAGTTATCTTTCGATGAATCCAACTGTCAGTCCTATTGAGCCAGCCATTCGTCCATCTGCTCCTCCAGATGTCTGAATCCCCTTTTGTCCCTCCTGCTTTCCTATCCATCTGTCTGACTAAGCGGCTGGCTGTCCTGCCGTTTGTTCTTTTTACCCAACTCATATTCTTTGTTCAAAATCAATTCATTACATATGTGCTGGTTCTTTTACCAACAGTAAGATGGATACAGATGACGCCATCTACAGTTTGCTTCGGGGCAGGAGATGATTCGTATGGTTTCTTTAGAACTGCCAAGGTGAGTAACATCATTACATTCAAATTAACGTACAAATCCGGTTACGTGACCTGTCATTCATCGAACCCAAGCTATCAATCCAAATGGGGATGCCTTTGGAACCGTCGCATTCCCAACCAAATGGCCACGTTGATAACTGACAAAAACCGTAATCTTCTTCTCCCAAAGAGTGATTTCCTATCAGATTATTGGGGCTGCAAAATTTACAGCCTGCCTTGGGCCACAACCGAATCGCCACAACTGCTCTTTGATAATTTGTCTACCCCCCTGACGGCGGAGACGAACCAAGAATTCCAAATCTGGTACAGCGAGGACTTGTTCAAATGGGGTTATGGCGATAATGGGTACGAGAAAACGTGTGTTGCAGTGTGTGGTTTGTATGTTTGAGTAGTCGCCCAAATTAGAAAGTAAATTGAAGAAGAGAGTGCCAAAATTGTTGTTCATGCCTTTATTACTTCAATATTAGATAACTATAACTCACTACTATATGGTCTACCTGAGCGTCTACTTTCAAGATTACAATCCGTTTAAAATACAGCAGCTCGAACTCTGTTACACGTACAAGGATATTGATCTTGTGACCCCAATCCTAAAAAAAGCTTAACTGGCTTCCTGTTCGTCACTGTATAGTTTATAAAATTCTTTCATTGGTCTACAAAGCTATTAATGGAGCACTGCCTTGCTGCATCAGTGACTCACTTAATTATCGCACCTCTAAACGGACACTATGGTCCTCTTTTCAACACCTTCTGGCGACCACGAAAGCGAGACTAAAAGACATTTTAAAACGTATCTTTTTAAACAAGCTCATAACTCCTTTTAATTTTATTAGGTGATAAATATGTTTCATTACCTCAATTTTTTCAATGTGTTTATTCCTATATATAGATATATAAATTTTTTCTCTTTTACCTCTTTCTTTTAGCTTTTTTACGATCTTAACGTAAAGCACCATGGACAATTAGTGGATTTGGCGATGTATAAATATATTTTATATTATCATTTATAATACAAGTACTTATGACATCAGGAAAAAATACTCTAACTTTAGTGACGTTCCTCTCTTCGATTCAAGAACGAAGGAAAATAATGCTTGTCCTGGTAAAGGCCTTGCTTGGA